AAGTGATGTTTTCACGAGGAACACTTCCAACTAAGTGATGTTTTCACAAGGAACACTTCCAACTAGCTGATGTTTTCACAAGGAACATTTCCAACTAAGTGATGTTTTCACAAGGAACACAACCAACTAAGTGACATTTTCACAAGGAACACTTCCAACTAAGTGATGTTTTCACAAGGAACACTTCCAACTAAGTGATGTTTTCACAAGGAACACTTCCAAGTAGCTGATGTTTTCACAAAGAACACTTCCAACTAAGTGATGTTTTCACAAAGAACACTTCCAACTAGCTGATGTTTTCACAAGGAACACTTCCAAGTAGCTGATGTTTTCACAAAGAACACTTCCAACTAAGTGATGTTTTCACAAAGAACACTTCCAACTAGCTGATGTTTTCACAAGGAACACTTCCAACTAGGACAAAGTCAGTTTTTTCTTATCATAATTTTAAAAGCTATTTAGCTTTATGTACCCAAATTTGTCAATTTAGTAAAGACTGCTTAACTCTAGACAATGGTACAATTTTTGCAGGTTTACTTATGTAGCTTTATTAATATATTTTTGTACAAAAAAAAAAAGAAAACAGTAGATGAAAAGTTGTTTTAATATTTGTGTACATTTTGTAACATTTCACGTTATTTTTTTCTTTTGTTTTTAAGGAGCTTATTTCAACTTTCAAAAGAAGTCCTGAAACATATTTCTCTAGAGATTTATTCTGATATTTTTCTGTTTTTATATAGTGATGACACATTGGTTCCTTCTTTACATACCATAAATCTGTTAAGCTGTTCTCGGGCTGTTTCTGGGAGCCCTCCTACCGGTTTTGAAGTAGCAAGTTGACTGTCAGTGTCACTCAGCCACATGAGAAGATCCTGTATTTCCTGGTAGAAGGCTTGAGCCTGTTGAAACAAACATCCACATATTTAAAAATAGAACACGTGAACAAAATTCTACAATTTTGTACCACTAATTTGGATTATGGTGTAGTACGTGTGAAAAACAATCAAAACACCAAATTTATCACCACTGCAGAAGTGGTTCAGATCTCATCTTCTGGTGCAGTCTGTGTGGATTTCCATGATTTTATGAGGTTTCATGTATAATTCTCAAAATACCGTTAGATCTAACGTTGGTTAATCGGTAGCTAATTAAATTATGAAATATCAACACTTTAGTTCCTTATCGTTATTTTTTCCATGTATTTTCTAGTACCATTACCTCTTTAAGGGCTTCTTCTAGCTCTCGTTGTCGATCAGCTGCCTTGTCTTGCAGCTGCTGCCATCTACTGTTCAGATCATTTAATTTCTTCTGAGTTATATTGGCATCTTCACTGCCACGATCTGCATCAATAAGTTGTCGACCCGCTCTATTTAGTGTGTCCACACTAGTCTGGTGGGCTTGGATGTCATTCATCAACACCTACACAAGAAAACTAACGATAAATCTCTTGAATGTATCACCAACACTTGCTTGTAGAAATATATTAACAGAAATACCACTCTTGGAGGTCAATCCACGATGTCTACAAAAGACATATATGATGAATAATTAAAAGGTTTCCCCTTTACTGATATTAACCAACATCTTTACTAAAAGAAATATATCATTATTCAAAAATAAAATACCAGACTGTTCATTACCTTATGTTTTGCCAACTCTACTTCTATTACTTGGGAGTCACCAAAGACAGGATGTAGGTCATCCAAAGTATTCTCAGTTCTAGATATCCACACAAGAAGTTCATCAAGTGCATGCTGGAACTGGCCAAGTCTTAGGAGAGCATGCTCCAGTTCTTGCTTTATTTGGATGGAAGAAAAAACAAATGAAATCAATTGAGCTTTAAGTTATTTTCAAATTAACTATAAGATGCAGAAGAGAATGAGGAATAATCTGGTGGTGTGTTATATGTGTAGTACTAATTAATTATGTTCTCCAGTTTTTACGTTTGTGTTGTGATACTGAATCATGTTCTCCAGTCATTATATTTATGTGTGGTGACAATGAACCATGTTCTCCAGACATTATATTTATGTGTGGTGACAATGAACCATGTTCTCCAGAGGTTCATTGTCACCACACATAAATATAATGACTGGAGAACATGGTTCATTGTCACCACACATAAATATAATGTTGTTCTACAGTCATTATATTTATGTGTGGTGACAATGAACCATGTTCTACAGTCATTATATTTATGTGTGGTGACAATGAACCATGTTCTACAGTCATTATACTTGTGTGGTGACAATGAACCATGTTCTCCAGTCCATATTTATGTGTAGTGTATATAATTAACAGCCTACAGTTCAGCAGTATTCATAACTATCACTTGTTTGAAAATCAAATAAAAAATCAAATTGTAACATGTATTTAGTTTTGATTCTCATCCTTGTTCATAAAGAAAAAATCCACAAATATAATTATCTTTCTTCCAGAAATAATTTTATCTCATTAAATACATTTGTGAGAAACCACTTCTTTTTTCATGGTGTGTTTTAATAAGTCAGACGGCTTCAAGAAACTTAGTGAATGTTTAATTCAAGTTTCTAAGGTTTAGTGGTTTATGTTATAAAGTTCCTGTTACTCATAATTCACTTGAGGAAAGAGGATACCATGGCCAGATATCCTGATGCTTATTTGGTGTTATCACAGTAAGAGAATCCCTTTCTAATGGTGCATTCAGTTGTGGTTTTTGATTTAGTATAAACTGTTGACCACTTTGTGGTTAAGGTAGGATTACTTGCATGAAAAGCATTAAAATGATAAAATTTCCAAACCAACTCATACTTTTTCATAATATCTTTGTTGCATCTCAACCTTTCACGAAATGTTAGCCTGTAATCATATAAAAAGAAACCAATAGCTTGAATATGACAGTAAAACATAAAACAAAACTATGATGTGATGATAATCACCATGTGATCGACTATTACCTTTACCAACTCATCCAAACAGTAACATTGAGAAACATAACTACT